AAATATCTCAGACCCCATTTAGGAGCCCGGCAAACAGAGCTGCCCGATCTTCTGCCCGCAGGTTTCCTCAAGGAACACCACCAGGACTTCTTCCAGCCTCCCCTGCCGGAGCAGAAAGCAGAAGCCATTCGCCGCCTGGGTTTTGGCACCAACAACAAGATCTTTCTGGAGTTCGAGCGGCCTTTCTGGGAACCCCAGCAGCAGCTCATCGAAGTGGTGTGGGAGGACGAGTCGCCCCTCGAGGAGCCTAGCGCCGACTTGGAGGCCAACTGGTTCAAGAAGCTCATCGGATTCGTGGTCCTCCAACCGCCGGAGCAGTACGTGGCCGGGAGCATCAGCAAAGGGGCATCGTGGCCGGGGGGTCTGGGCATCTTCCAGGCAACGTGAAGGAGCATCTTGGTCCTGTCTGGAGCTTCCAGACCTTCTCTGGGTGGACCGTGACGCAGCAGTGCTCCCGGGGCAGGGAGGGCACGGTTCCTGGTGAGTAGCAGGAGGGCGGCAGGCAGCTCTCGGCCCCATCTTTCCTCCCCAGGCATGGGCACGTCCTCTGCGGCTTCATCGCGGGGAAGGAGTCAGAGTACATGGAGACGCTGAGCGACGCGGAGGTTCTTGGCACTATGACGCGCGTGCTCCGCACGCTGACAGGTACCGCCGCCTCCTCCGCCCTCCTCACCTCAACCCCCCTGGGGAAAACGCACACCCGGATTTCTGGATCCCGCCTAAAATCCGCGCCCGCAGGGAACCCGTGCCTGCCTGCTCCCAGGAGCGTGCTGAGGTCCCGGTGGCACAGCGCTCCCTACACCCAGGGCTCCTACAGCTACGTGGCCGTCGGCAGCTCGGGGGACGACATCGACGTGCTGGCTCAGCCCCTGCCCGAGGACCCCGAGGACCCCAGGGTAATTGCTTTTGGCCTGGGGGATGCAGCAGCCATGGGGGGAGCAGGACCCCCTGCGCGTGGGGACGATGGGACAGGGGTGGGAACAAGATGCCCCAGGCCTTGAGGAGCACAGGGAGGTGGCATTCCCCACTCCCGCACCATTCAGGGGTCACCGATACTCAGGTCACCAACCAACCCCCCTTGGCTCTTCCCACGAACCCCATGGGGGTGGGGGAACACCATTTCCATAAGATCTGGGGACATGTAGCTCCTTCCAACCACCTTCCAGCATCCTCACGGCATGGGGTGGGTCTCTAAGGAAGGGAAGGTGCCTGCTCCTTGGTCTCTAGGTGGCTGCAGAGTGGGTCATGCATCCGCGGGGTG